TGCGTGCACGACCCGATGTCGTTGGTTGCTGTCGGGTTGGATTCTCATCCGTTCGATCAGCATCCAATGGCCCTGCACGCCTCTCTGTTCCAGCTGTGGGTAAATTGGCTGTCCTAGGTATTCTCCTCTCCGTCCCTACTCTCGTTGCCTCTGCTCCATCCCCGTCGTCATCATTTTCACTCTCTGGCTCTGCTTCCGTGGTATAAGAGGGGTCATTTCTCTCCCCTTCCTCATTGGCAACAATTAGGGCAATTAAAGCCCGACGTCCCGCAGCCTGAAACCCGTTCTCCGGCCCTCCACCCGTTCCGCTAACCGCCTTCCTCCTCTCTTCCCGCGCTGCCCGGCCTCGCGATGGTGATTGCTGGGGCTCCCGAGCCGTCGCCAGAGCGCGTTGCCGTCTGGTTGGCAATGGTCGCCAAGCCTCGGTCTGAGCCCGGAAAGGCGACCACGGCGACGAAGCTCCCAGTGCCTCTGGCTCCAAAGCCCTCGACAACATCCGCTGAAAAGCCTCCTCGCCCCGAACCCGCGGCTCCCCTTGCCGCAGCAAGCGCTCAGTTTGCGGCCTCCGCTGGTGCTGAGCGGTCCCGCCCCATCTGCCCCAACTGCTCCCCAGGCTCCACTTGAAGCCGCGACAAAAACTAACGCCGCATTCCCGGCTCCCGCTCCCGTTGGGCCACCAGCTGCTGGCCATGAGCTGCAGACTTCTGCGCCTGCTTCGTCTCCGCTCCCAGTGTCCGCCACCACTGGCGGCCTGGTACAGTTGAATGTGCCCTCTGTAGTGGACCTGGCTGCCCCTGTTGCGCCGCCCGTGGCCCAGCAGGCGCAGCTGGCGTCGCAGTCTTGTCCTCCCTCGCCGGACCGTTGCCTGTCTCGCCCCCAATCCCCAGCGCCCCAGCAGGATCGGGCGTCCTCTCGGCGTCGGCGCAATTCTCCCCGGCGCAATCAACGGACGGGTCAGTGGTATCCTCACCGTGGCGGTCGCGGTGGCTGGTGGGGTTCTCACGGTCACAATGGCGGGGGGTCATATGATCCGCCCGTAAGGATGGCGGATCTGCAAAAGGCGGTAACGGCCGCGATGCGTGAGGAGTGGGCTGCTCAGACCCAAGGCAGCTCGCACGTTGCCGCCTCCTATCCAACTCAGCGTCAGGCGGCGCTTCCTGGGGTTCCGCTCCCTGCTGCTCCAGTCCAATCTCGCGTTCCGGCCCCATCGCCCCCCACTGTTGCCGCGTCTGCTCCCGTTCCAGGGTCACGGTTGCATCTTCCGCCCGTTCCGCCCGTGGCAGGAGTAGAATTTGTGGCTGTGGGAAGCTCGGCGGGTGGCCCGGCTCCTCCTGCCGTTGAGGAGCCATTCCAGTTCCTTGCTCAGGCGCTGCAACCCCCTCAGGCCCGTGTTCCGGAGGCGACCCTCGGCCAGCTCTTCCGTCTCGCGGAGAGCTTTCACGCACTGATTCTGATACAGGTTCTTGCACATTCGTCTCTCCCTGCGGCCCCCCCTGAGTTGTTCCTGGATCGACATCGCGATTCTTGCCTGGACGCAGCCGATCAGCTTGCAGGGCTGCTGGCGCCCGTGCTGGCTGCGCCCGCCGAGGGAGGCGTTGCGGCGGTGGGGCCGCTTGATGAGGCTGTCCGCGGCTTGCGGCGCCATTTGCGTGCTGGTTCTGGAGCCGCCGCGATCGGCGCAAGCATGCTTGTGGTCCGGGAGCTGTGGCGCTCCCTGACGGGCATTCTTCATGCTCTCGGAGCTCACCACATGTAGACGCGGGCTCCGGCTCTGCCATTAGTGGTTCGCGCGGCTAGGCCGCGGTAGGGATTGCCATGTTTGTATGCCTGTTGCGAGCAACTCTGAGTGTTGTGTGCTTGTCGTTCCCTCGCGCGCCGCCGAAGGCCGCGCTGTCGAGCGTCGGCCGCCTTCAGCGGCCGGCGCGAGCCGCTTGGTTAGGAGAAAACAGATGAAAGAGAACCAAACAATGAAAAGAGATAGCTGCAGAGGAGCACTTTATACTAGCGGGAAGAGTGCTGGAGAGGCTAAGGACTTGCTCCTAGGGCCTCTCTCTCTCTCTCTCTCTCTCTCTCTCAGTCTCTCATCTCTCTCTCATCTCTCTCTCTCTCTCTCTCTCTCTCTTCTCTCTCTTCTCTCTCTCTCTCTCTCTCTCTCTCTCTCTCTCTCTCTCTCTCTCTCTCTCTCTCTTTCTCTTTCTTTCCCTCCCCCTCCCTCTCTCTCCCTCGTTTTCTCTCTCACACACATGTGCGCACACACACAAATTCTCCTTCGTTCTTGATCTTGCTCGCCCTTGAGTCCGGTCATGCTTCTTGGCCCGTTGGCCAAAGCAATGGTTGCACGTCCGATGAGTGCAAGGGTCGTTGATTGGGGTCATGTGGTAAGTATCTTTGCCATTCTTTGCTCCTTCATCTCTCCTTGTCTCTTCTTCTTCCGCTTCTTGTCTCTTTCCTCCCCCCCCCTTTGTATTTTTTTTTTTTTTTTTCACACCATGAGCCAAGTCAGAAATTGCTTCTTTAATGAATCCGCCCTTATATAAACCGGGCCATACATTGCCATGCTCCTAGCATGCCTTCGCCCCTACCACATGGGCTACTACCAATGGGCTAAGAGGTTTTTACTCCCTCCCCCTCATCCTAGGCCTCTAGCCTATTTATCACCCCTAACTAGGGCTAGCCAACCGCCACCGCTAACCCCTTTGGGTTGCCACGGTCTTTGCACATGACGTGCACTGTGCCACGCGCACAAGGCGCCATCGCTCAAGGGCCCGCCCCTACACCACGGGTGCGGGTCCTTGGCCACCGTTTCCATTTCTCGGGCAGCCACTTGCCATGTGACCCGACTGGCTACAACGGAAGCACGCCCCACAGAAGCCATGGAAGCTACCCGTGGGCGGCGGTCCCCGCTTTGGGGGTGTATGAAGTCGGCCCGTGCCCTCCACCGCGGTGGGAACGAGTGTACGCGCCCTCCGCGCGATCCATAGCCGCCACGTCAGCCACCGCCTGCTTGAACGGGCGGGAGGTGAGGAGACTCTTCTGCTGGTAGAGTTTGAATCGCTTCGCCACGCGGTCGCCGGTGTGGTCCTCAACTTGGAACATCACGAAGTGCTCCGAAATATAGTCCGAGGGCGTTGACGACCATTTCGAGTCCGCCTGCCGTGTCGTCGTGCTGCAGCTTGTACTCCGCGTGTTTCAGGTAGGCCCTCACGTCCTCCAAGGGCTCCGCTTTCGTGCGCACGATTGTCTTCATGAATTTTGCGGCCGAGAAGGTGGGGGTGGTGAAAGGAAGGGGGGGGGGAGATTTTCCATGGATGTAAAATTTGTTGCGTTGATTGGAGCCTCACCAGCGTCGTCATCTGAGTCGTCGGAGTCATGATTGTCGGCTGCGGCTTCGGGAACGCCGGTAGCCGCTTCTTTGTTATGATGGCGTGTTGACGCTCCTTTTGCTCCCTTCTCCTTTTTCGAAATTTCATTTTTAGCCGAAATTGATGCTGCCGGTTGTGTAGTTTCGGCTTCAATAACGCTGGCGGGTCGCTGCTGTAGTAGGGACAGAAGCGCTTTGACTTGGTCCGGGGTCAACACCCCGGAGGGTTCACGGTCGCATCAGACAAGGCGGCCATCCTGCGCCTATGGCGCTGACGCGACTGCCTGAGGGACGCGTGTGCCTCAGGCGCATGCTCCGGATCAGCAGCGTATGGCGCCACGTTCGCCACAGGTGCCACAAGTGCCACTGGCGCAACAGGCGCCACAGGCGCCGAAGGGTGCTGCTGGTGCCTCTCGGCGTTTTTGTTGACCTCGAGCCCGCCCAGCAGCACGTCGATGGCAGTTGGGGCGGACGTTTCGCCGTCTGCCCGGTGCTTGTTGCGGCGCTCGCGCCGACGTTTCCCGGGCATTAACGATCGTTGTTGGAATTAATCAGGTCATTGACGACGGTGTTGTTCGCAGCGGTGAAGTGTCTGCGTAGTAGCCATTGTCGTGGTGTTGTGGTTGAGAATGTCGGCTAATCGTGCTGTGTCAGAATTTATATGTAGCTGCCTGTAGCTGTAGTTTAGTGTAGTTATTATAAATTGTTGGTGGTGCACCTTGCTTCACTTCTTTCATATTTGTACGTTGAACCTATAGTGAAACCCTCATTCTCCTTCTCAACTCTCTCGATACTTTCCTCACCCTTCAACTCGAACTTCTTCTAAGCTACTATGGCTCCTAAGCCTACCTAGCACTAGTATCTTAACATGTTGAAGGTGAAACGCCTCTCGGTAGAGAGCGGGTTCTAGCCAGCTTGAACGGAAAAACTAAAAATAAGCTCGAGGAACTGAGAGTTGCACGAGCCGTTTGAAAAATGAGAGACGTGGGTGGAGGGAAATGAACCCCAACCCACGATTTGTAGTTGGAGAAGGGCGCTTAGCGTGCTTCGACGATGCCAAATTCGCGTTACAGTCAGCTGCGCTTTCGAAAAAACGTAATTTTAAAAATCACTATGTGAGTTTAAAAATTATCATATCAATCAACTACTAGGAAAATCCAGCGCACACACACATGCAGGAGATGAGAGTGGAGGTGGGCCGATGACCTAGCAGATCTGCGAGAAAAGGCGGATGAGAGTGGAGGTGGGCCTGTATTTGAGAGGATGAAAGAGGTTATAAAATAGTGAGCCGAAGAACGAGGGGAAAAAATAAGTTGGACAAGGTATCACGAAAGGATAGTACGATTGAGATGGGGAAAGAGAGAAGAACAACAGGTTGGGGGGGGGAGGAGGCGAACGACGAGATGGGAGGGGAGAGGAGGAACGTGAGCGCGATGCCGACGGGAGGGAGAAGCGAGCGCGCAGGGCGACGGGACGTGAGTGCGCTAAGGCGACGGGTGGTAGAAGGTGAAGGCAACAACAGGGAGAGCTTGTAGGCAACGGGAGAGAGAGGACGAAGGGGACAAGAGGGAGAGCGTGCATACGACGGGAGGGAGAGGAGACATGCGACAATAGGGAGAGCGCGAAGGCGACGACTACATCAAGGGTGACGGGAGGAAGGGGAGAGAGCAAGGGAGACGGGGGGGGGAAGGGTAGAGAGAGAGGGCGAAGGCAAGATATTAGGTTTTGGAAGCGATGTCAGCGATGAGATGGGACTTTTAGGGGAGAGAGGAAAAACGTCGGGAGGGGAGGAGTGAGAGGGAAAACGACAAGAGGGGAGCGGATAGAGGAAGAACGACGGGCGGGGAAGGGAGAGAGCGCGGAGGCGACGGGAGAGAGAGTGAGGAGGCAATGGGAAAGAGAGCGCGGAGGCGACCGGAGTGAGAGCGCGAAGGCGACGGGAGTGAGAACGCGAAGGCGACGAGAAAGAGAGCGCAAAGGCGACGGGAGGGAGAGCGCGGAGGTGACGAGAAAGAGAGCGCGGAGGAGACGGGTAAGAGAGCGCGAAGGCGACAGGAGGGAGAGCGCGAAAGCGACGGGAGTGAGAGCGCAAAGTTGTCGGGAGAGAGAGCTCGAAGGCGACGGGAGAGAGAGCGCGAAGGTGACGGGAGAGAGAGCGCGGAAGGCGACGGGAGAGCGAAGGCGGCGGGAGATAGGATAAGCGACGGGAGAGAGGAGGGTGACGGGAGAGAGGAGGGCGACGGGAGAAAGGATGGCGGCAGGAGAGGGGATAGGCGAAGCGCGAGAGAGGAAGGCGACCGGGAAAAATGTAGAGCGACTGAGGGCGATATACCGAGAGCACGACGGCTGGAAAAATGTATAAAAAAAAATCGTCGTTTACTACATTACGCACACGAGCTAAGTCGATACTTCGTGCCTGGGCCAGAAACATCTAGCTCTATCAGCTTTACTACTAGCGTATGCTACGCAAAACACTTGTGTCTTCGGGACTGGAAGAGGGCTAGTCATTCACGCCAGTTCCAACTTGAAGTGGAAGTTTGGCCTGGCGATGGAAACGATCGCATGGCAAACGGTCGTAGCGGGGAGCAGCGTGAAAAATGCGACGGCTAACTTGGGCCTCGAAAATAGTTTTGGCGGGAGGGGCAATTTTCAGATTGGCTTGAGCCAATCAGATGAGTTCAACCATGCCAACACGGTTTGTTTGGAACAGTGTTGTATCACCCGAACTATTCGCAGCGATTTCAATGTTGGGTCTGCCTTCAGTATTTTATACTCTCGTTTTAATGCACCTGGTGGGATTTGCCTTTACGTCTAGTAACCACATGTAGCATAAGGTAATACAATGTTGCATGCAATGCCTTCAAAGTTCCTTGTTGCTGCTTTTGTGATACATTTCAATTGCACTTCTGCTAGCCTCCCAACACAAAAATTGTTCTGTACTAGGTCCGTCCCACGGAATGTACGCGTTAGGAGACGAATGCGTTCCACATGAGTTTCAGGGTGTAAGGAATTTTCTCGATATTCCTTAGCGCGCCCTGCAACATCGCGTACAGCAGCAGCCTTTGTTCGCAGCCGTTACTGCTAATGGGACTTCGCCGACTTAGCGCGCACTGTTTCACCAAACCTCGCACTGCTGGCATGGCCGGTGTCGCCCACGCTTCGGGACTAGCCCGAGCCTCGCCTCCAGCATTGTTGATTGTGTAGGTGGTTGTGGTATTTTTCTCTAGCTGGTTGTTGGGCTAAGGGTTTGGGCAAAATGTGGTGGTTAGACTTGTTGCGGGCTGGTATTGATCTCGTACCCAACAAGCACCAACAATATTTGCTATTCACTACAACACCTTGGTAATTCCTAGTTTAGCACTTTGGGTTCTTGAGGATTGTTGTAGGGCGAGGGTTGGGTTGGTAGGGTTTGAACACTTGTCACTTTTCAGATCTGAACTCTTGCTAAAGCTAGTCTTTTGGCTAATCCATGGCTGCCTACTAATTCCGCCAGAATACACTATCGCACTTAAATCGCGATGGCGATCGGCCTGGATCTTGGTTGAAAGCGTGCGTTACCATTCTAGAAAGTAGAGATTAAGACCGTTCCAACGCATACCTGCTCATAGTTTAAGGTTACATGATCTGCACGCAATGTTCTGTCGAAGTCGGCGGACTTAATCTCTTGTACGCTCTCCAGATTCACGCGCTTTCCATCAGTGGTATCAGAGTTGGTTAGGCCTGCAACATTCCCTCCTATTATCATATTACGAATTGGTTTAAGAATCTCCAGATCTAGGTTGGTTATGGCCCAGAAATTAGATGGCCCTCCTAGGTTCACCGGCTCGGATTTTTCGCTATGGCGGTTCGAGTTTACGCTTTGGCTAGGTATCAAAGACCTAGAAGGCGTTTTGGAGGGATCGGAGCGAAGATCTGAAGCTGATGAAGGAAAGGCATCTACTGGAGTCTCTAGCCAAGTGGGAGAAGGGCTGGGGGAGCCTCTAGCTCATCCATAACTGAGGGAAGTGGAGGTGGACCAGCAGCACCGCGAACCGAAGGCAACGGCTTAGTACAGAGGAGCTTCTTAAGGCACAAGAAGCATGGACCGCAAGGACAAGCAAGCATTCCAGTACCTGTGTTGGGCCTTGGAAGGCCAAATAGAGCTCCTAAAGATGCTGATTGACCTGAAGGGCAAGGAAGGAGCAGCTGCACTAGCATGAAGAGAGTTTCAAGATCGACATTTGCAAAAAGGGTTGTTAAGCATACTCACCTGGAGGAAGCGGTTCTACACCATGGAACGCAACTATGGCGATGGGGAGACCATGGTGCAGTACCTCCAGAGGGTGGATGAGTATGTGAGGGCATTCCAGGGGATCATCTACACCGCACTCCAGGGGCTGGATCAAGAAGCAAACGAGGCTCTACTACAATACCTTCACCTAGAGCAGCAGAAATGGACCAAGGCCTGGATATGGGAGGTGTTGGTTTCTTATGAGGCTCGCAAGCGTAATGCTGGTAGAGGATTTGAAGGGGGAATGGGGGCAGGTGATAGGGTTGCCTCCAAGAAATACCAGCAGCGGCACGGAGGTGGGGGGAAGAAGAAGGAGCTCGACAAGTGCCTCATCCCTGGATGCAGCCGGAAGCACTCTTGGAAGAAGTGCTGGAGTCGACCAGATGGGTGGAATCCTCAAGGGTACCCAGGAGAGGCTCCACCTGTCACTAGGCCTGAGTGGGTGGAGAGAGGATGAAGACGGAGCATGGAACAAGAAGGGCAGCAAAGAGAAAGCGGCAGCAGCGGCGGCAAACGAGGATAAGAAGGGAAAGGATGACTTATCGGATGATGGCTTCTCCTTCTTATCCTTAGAGAAGGAGACGACGCTTGCTGTCGTGTTGACGTTGGCTGACCCAATCAGCTCATTCTAGACTCTGGAGCAACCTGTGGAATGGTACCTCGGCGCGACCTCTTCACCACTTATCACTCCCTCCCACCTAACTCCAGAAATGTGATTGTGGGGAGCGGAAGATACGCTGCAAGCGAATCGGCATCGGCACAATCACCGTCATGGGAAGGAGGGGGAGGTGCTGAATGTGAAGGGTGTGCTTCATGTTCCTGATTTGGCAGCCAACCTTCT